GAACTAGGCCTAGAGGAGAGTTGAGTGAGAGGAGGGTAGAATGTATTACTTAACTTGTTAGATTTGGGGTTTAATTTGGGACTTTGTTGGATTGGCTAGACCTGGATCAATAAATGTAGCTACCTTCATTTTTCCTGCAGATATCTTCAAGGCCCTAACTCTGATTCTGTGAACTGACAAGCCCTAGGAGTTGCAAAAAAACTAGCTCAGTATTCTTGGTCAGTTTTTCTACCGCAGTTTACTTGGTATATTCCTGTCAGTTAACAACGGCTCACTTTGGCAGTTATTACACTGAGGAGAGAGGAGGGAAGAGGGTAGGCCTCTACCTCACCACTCTTCTGCCTCCCCCCCACTATTGAGTCATTGTTCTAGACCTTTTGCATACTTTAGCTCAGGATTTTAAAGGCATGTTTGTTCTTTTCCCTTGAGCAGTTCAGGCGTCTTAATTATCTCAAGCACATTTCCCCCCTCAGAGGTTTCCCCTACTGTAGGAATGCTTTGCCTTTTGCAGACCCCAGTATAGAAGAAGGATCTTCAACATATTAAATCAGTGCATATTTTCATGGTGAGCACAGACAGTAATCCAGGCGGTGGATTCTTTCGCAGCTTTTTATGGTCATCGACTAGGCTGCATAGAAGAGAGTTACAGAGGACTTAGGATATTCCTGTCTGCTGTGTGAGCCCCCTACAACACAGACCTGCTTTCTGAAAATGGCCTGTCACCTGTGTTGAAAATGTTTACCACCAGGATTGGGGCTTATGGACTGAAGAGGGTTTTCATTTGTGCTCATGCTCACTTTGCTGACTAACTTTTAAGATTGGAAGAAATTAGAGCCCTTAATACATCCATGTTATAGAATTTCTGTTTGACTTTTTAAATTATTTTTACACAAAAGTAATATTTGTTCCTGATTAAAACAAATTTTTTTCAAACCATACAGCAATGGAAATATTAAAGTGAAAAGAAAATTCCCATCCGCCAGAGGTAATCACTGTTATGTTTCTTGTGTGTTTATGTGTTTGTTAAGAAAATATGCCCATGCAAACACATGGGCTCATGTCTTTATCCTTTTTTCTTAAAGCCTGAATGAGATCATACAATATACTATTTTCTACAATTTGCTTTCTTAACAGTCATATCTTTCTGCGTCAGGACACATTGATCCAGCATCTCATTCTGCCTTAGGGCTGTTTCTTCTGCCTGGAACAGTCTTATCCCAGATATTGTCATGGCTTACTCTTCCAGTCCTTACTTAACTGGTACCTTCTCAGTGATGCCTTCCTTAGCTGCCCTATCTAAAAGCTCAATCCCTTCTCTGTCACTTCTATTCCCCTTCCCTATTAGTGACTTTTTCCTAGCACTGATTATCTATAATACTTTTTATTTTGTCTTATTGTCTGTTCCCCCACTGTAATGTACACTCTCTGGTGGGGAGGAATTTGTGACTGTGACATTCACTGCCAAATTGCCAGCCTTTATAATAATTCCTGACCCCACAGTAGATTCTCAGTAAATATTTGTTGAAGGAAAGAGTGAATGGTTATGTTGTTTTTCCACATTTGGGTACACCATAATTTATTAAATAATCCCCTAGTGATGGTCATTTAGGTTTTCAGGTTGCCCTACTTTTATGAACAATGCTGTATTGAACAGTTTTATACATATATTTTTGTATTATTATAGGATAAATTCATAGAGGTGGAGTTGTGAGTTTAAAGGATATACTTTTTTTTTTTTTTTTTTGCGGTACGCGGGCCTCTCACTGCTGCGGCCCCTCCTGCTGTGGAGCACAGGCCCCAGACGCGCAGGCTCCGCAGTACGTGGGATCCTCCCGGACCGGGACACGAACCCACATCCCCTGCATCAGCAGGCGGACTCTCAACCACTGCGCCACCAGGGAAGCCCTAGGATATACACATTTTAAATTTTGAATACTTGGTCTCCCACTCCCCTTCCTCTCCTAAGGAAAAAGGTATTATCAAATTACAGTCCTGCTAAGAGTGTGTAAGGATACCCATTTCTCTATGCCCTTGCCTACACTGATTGTAATCAACTTTTAAGCCTTTGCCAATCTGATAGATGAAAATGATATCTCATCTTAATTTGAATATCTTTCATATGTAAGTAAAGTTGAGTACCATTTTATATAATTATTTACCTTTTTATTTACTTTTCTGTGTACCTCTTTTTTTCTATTGTTCCATTAGTTTGTTTTGCTTGTGTTTCGCCAACGCATCTTTGTTTGCTTTGGTACATTTCCTGTCTGTAGGCTGCAACCAGATATAACCCAGAGAACAGTATACATCTGGGCCACAGCTATTCTCTGCCTAGAAAATTTCTAACCCTGGTGTTAACATCTTCATCTCTTCTTCTTGCTCACGTTTTTATTTATTAGTAAAAGCAATCATATAAACATATAGCAGATGTTGGCTATGTGCTAGGCACTGTGCTCAGCATTTTATTTATTTTTAAAAATCTATTTTAATGTCATAGCAGCCCTATCAGGTAGTACTAGTTTGTCTCTGTATATATAATTTATATATAGAGAGAAACTGAGGGATAGTGCTGGAGATCACACAGCTAGTAAGTGCTTAAAGCCAGGATTTGAACCTAAGCAGGGTGGCTCCAGAGCCTGCCCTCCTAACCACCAAGCTCTGTTGCCTCCAGTGTGGGCAGTGGGTTATGCTGCCCATTCTGTTTTCAGGAGATGCTTCTGCCCATATGTCCCTATTCAGAAAATTGACTACAGTTACTGAAACAAGAGAAAGGTATTCATGTTCAGGTCTGGGAGTTTTATCTTATAAGTTAGTTTTCATTACATGGTTCAAAACCAAAATAATAAAATGAAAGGTATATAGTGAAAATTTTCACTCCCACTCTTGTCACATCTACTCTATTTCCCCTGTTCTCTATTTTTGCTAGTTTCTGTATATACTTCCTGTGTTACTTTATATACTTATAAACAAAATAAATGAATATATATACATGCACACAGGCATACCTTGTTTTATTGCACTTTACAGATAGTGCATTTTTTACAAATTGAAGGTTTGTGGCAACCCTGCATTGTCAGATGATTCTTAGCATTTTTTAGCAATAAAGTATTTTAAATTAAAGTGTATATGTTTTTAGACCTAATGCTATTGTACACTTAATAGAGTACACTGTAGTGTAAACATAACTTCTTTATGTACTGAGAAATGAGAAAACTTATGTGGTTCATTTTATTGCAACATTTGCTTTATTGCAATAGTCTGGAACCAAACCCACAATATCTCTGAGGTGTACCTATATATAATTTTCCCCTTTCTTACATATAAGGTAGCATGTTATATATACTTTTTTGCACTTTGTTTTTTCACTCAGCTCATCCAAAGGTTTTAAGACAATTTATTCATCAGATATTTTTTCAGTGCCTCTTTATACAAGGCACTGTGCTGGCTTTAGAGGAATATACAAAGAAGCATGAAACAGAAATCTCTGGCCTCAGGGACTTTACAGTTCTTCAGGCTGAGAGCATAAATAAAAATAAAGTGTGGTGTTTATATGACATGTTACTTTCTTGACTGATTGAGGCTTCAATACAAAGCACACTTAGCCTGCTGAAGGTAGTGAACGTGTACCTTGGTCTTTCGAGTTACTGAATAATAGGTCTCTTGAGCACAAGATCTATGCCTTATTTATCCTAATATCCTCTTCAGGACTTTATGGTTGAAAAATGAATCTGTGCTTGTTTTAAGTATAGACTTCAAGGAAACTTTTAATTCATTTTTCATGAACCCAAAGGACAATTTTTAGAATTGTTTTGATTTTGGAATTCATCCCTGCCTGAGGGGTCTTATGAAATTGGATTGAAATGAAATTTTCATGTGCCTAATTAGAACAGAAGGAGGATGGTTCATCTATAGACGGTGTGTTTTGGTGGGGATCTTCTTTTCCCTTTACTGAGTTTTCCTCCTTTGTTTCCTCCTACCCATGGGCAGAAAGTGAAAAAGAGTCCGTTAATCCCAACTACATAACAGTGTTTTGTGGCTGTGGGCAAGCTACCCTCAGTTTATTTGTTTTGGGTCTCAGCTTGTGTTTATTACAACGTAATTCTATTGAAAGACATCTTTGTTCAGAACCCCTCCAACAGTTCTGGACATTCCAGGAGCCATGAGGAGGCAGTACGATATAGTGGTTGAAAGAGTAGACTCTGGAACTGGCCTGCTGGCATTGAATTCTGAACCCTCCGTTTTGGCTATGACAAGTTACTGAACTTCTATTATTTTCACCATCCCCAAGTAGACATCATAAATGTTAGAGGTCTATGAATTGATTCAGTTTATTTTTCCCACTGAGCTTTACAGCCAAGGACAAGAACTGAAAGAGGAAATCTAGCACTTAATGTTTCTCTAAGCACTTTTCATCAGAGATCATAATACACGTTACACATGGAACATGCACATATGACACACATATAACACATGAACTGTCTAAGCATCTCAGTGCTTAATCTGGTGCAAGGAATATTCTTCTTTGATGGAAAGAAGATGAATCCCAAAGAAGAAAAGCCAGCATTAAAGGTCACACAGAGTTAGAAGTAGTAATAGAATGTGGGTTTTCTCTTAGCCTCCTGTCCTTGGCTGCCAAACTGTTCTCTGAAGAATGATTTGTGAGAGGCCTTTTCCTTTGGAAGCCTGTTACTGTCACAAGAAGAAAAGAATCTCTTTGGAGGTGTATTTTGGGGCGCAGGATAGGCTTTCCTCCCCATCGTTTTTGTTGTAGGAGTCTGGTGCTGCTGCACATCTGATTTGGGAGAAGAGGGAAACACTCTGTTGCTCTTTACAGGGCTAGAGATGAGTGGGGAACATGGCCTGTCAGGGTGTTCCTGTTATCCCTGCATGCCTGGAAACCCATCAAGTAGTCTCTGCAGGGTAAGGGAGTTGCATTGCTTCAGAGTCTTTTGGACATTTGGACATCTTCTTTGCATCACAGTCAATCTGATCTGTTCCCTTAGGCTCTTTATTGAGAAACTACCAAAGCATCGAGATTACAAATCGGCTGTCATTCCTGAAAAGAAAGACACAGTAAAGGTGGGTCTTCACTTTAACTGTTGCCCATCTAAAAGCTTCAGAGAAGCACAAACTAACTCCAAAATATAAGTAGCAGTATCTGCATCTGAGCATCATATCCTGCAAATAGGAGATAAGGCCATTTCACTAGATCAGTTACGAAATATCTGGTATGGTAGGAGGTATTTTAAATTAAATTATTTAAATTTAAATTATTATTTAAATGTTTTTAGAAACATTGTTGCCATTGCCAACTTGACTTCAGTCTTTTTACTTCTGTACTTAATTAGCGGGCAATTGTTCTAACTCCCAGTTTTTGATTTTGTGTCTCAGAAATTAAAGGAGATTGCATTTCCCAAAGCAGAAGAGCTGAAAGCAGAACTGTTAAAACGATATACCAAAGAATATATAGACTATAATGAAGAAAAAGTGAGTATGTAATAGCAAAAAAAAAAAAAAAGGAAATTATTTTGGTTTCTTAGGCTGTGGCCTAGGATTCTAATAGATATTTCAACAGATCTTGTGATTTTAATGTGATATTTTACTTTATTGGCAAAGACCAGAAACTCAAAAAAGGTGTTTAGGCTGAGGATTCTAATACAGATTTAGCCTGTTTATCTAAGAGGATGACTTGAGGGACAGAATATCTATTGCTTGTCTGCTATGTCTAGAGCTAGAACCTAAGAACAATGAAAATCACACTAAAGTATAAGGTTTTTAGATCAGAGAATTTGGGATATTTGATACACATTTGATTATATCCAACATAGGATATACCTGTTTATAATAATTGGGGTTTTTTTTCAAGCTATTTTCAAATGATTCTTGTTAGGAAGAGTCAGTTAAAACACATGAGAAGCTCTGAGACAGTGTCATTGGTCTGTGTCAGGTGAGAACACACACTGCAAGCACTTGCACATTCTTTTGTACACTCTACTGAATTCTGTTCTGGACTCTGATGTTGAAAATTAGCAGAGAGGTGAACAGCTATGTATTTCTACGGTACCCTTAGAGTACCTTAGTGAAATGAGTGAAAATGAGTGAAAACCTTCATGAAGGAGATTATTCCTTGATGTTTCTTAGTAGTTTAAAATGTCACTCTATATTGGACCAATCACCAGAAAAATTTCAGAGGCTTCATTCAGGGTCAAAATTCAACAGAGACCCCCAACATGGCAGTTGTAAGTTTAGATTTGGTTCTGTTTCACAGCCTTACTTGGGATACAGAATGTATACATGGCACACCAGAGGCTAAAATTGTATGATACAGATTATGAGGTGCAGACAGTAAATTGCCTTGAGATTTTGGTAAAGAAGAAAATGCATTAGTTAAAGTCATTGGGAAAGGGTACCAAGAGGATCAGGACTTTAACTGTTTTTGAAGAATAGGTGTATGGTAGTTAGATAGACAGGAGCAGCAGCTGTTCCATGGGTGTAGAGGTACTAAGGGAAACATGAATTCTGTGTTGGGAACTCACGCTAGAGCAGAAGTACATTTGGGGCAATCTCCCTGCTGAAAAGCCTTGTCCTTCTAAGATGTGAAGTCACTTGAGTATAAAGTGTTAACCTAACTCGTATTCATTCTTTGTAGAAGAAGGAAGAGGAAGAATTTGCCCGAAACGTAGCCATCCAGCAAGAGCTGGAAAAGGAAAGACAGAGGGTGGCACAACAGAAGCAGCAACAGTTGGAGCAGGAACAGTTCCATGCCTTTGAGGAGATGATCCGGAACCAGGAACTAGAAAAAGAACGACTGAAAATTGTACAGGAGTTTGGGAAGGTGGACCCTGGCCTGGACGGCCCACTGGTACCTGACTTAGAGAAGCCCTCCCTAGATGTGTTCCCCACGGCACCTGTTATATACACACAGCCTTCGGACTGTAATACAACTGTAAGGCCTGCCAAGCCACCTGTAGTGGATAGATCCTTGAAACCTGGAGCATTGAGCAACTCAGAAGGTAGTGAATTCATTTGCTTCCATACTCTTCTATCTCAGCTGCAACCAAACAGGGTGTCATTGCAGGAGATTCAGCTACAACTACCTCCATGATACCACTCATTAGGCTCTGGTCACAGAAATCCATTTGATTAGTATTACCATACTGTGTTCTATCACAGCTATATTATAAAGTGGACTTTGCTTAAGACATATAGTTTACCTGGGCCAGGTCGATTTTCTGAAGAGCTAATAACATCCTTGAAAGTCAGACCCTCAGCTTTTAAGGGTTATACAGAGATTTGAAATGTTCAGTGAACTAGAGACCACTGTTGACCTTTTGTAAAGGAAATTTGAGATTTATAGTACCACTTTACAGTTCAACCACTGACCTTTAAATAATAAAAAAGAGCTACTGAATTGTGCTTGCCCTGCAAATGTTCCTAATTGGTAAGGAGTTTAGTCAAGGTAAGTATTGTATGTAGTCAGTGATAATTCAGTCTAGCCATAAAAAACTGTTGAGTCTTTCCTCCTCTCACCAATGTATGGCTATCTGAGAAAATAACAATAGTGGCAAAATGATGAGTATGCCTTGATTAATAGAATAGATCTTTTTGTTAGGAATTGTCTTTCAAGTAGTCATGTAAGGAGTTCAGCTTCGCAGAAGATCCACTTAAAAGCACAAGGTAAGAGTGGGCAAGGGGTGCTGGACTCTTGAAGCCTGGCCTTCAGGTTTCTCCCCATGTACTAGGCAGGATTGTCTCTCACTATTATTCCTGAATAGCTCAGAAACTTCTTTTAAGCAGTAGTTTACCTTTGTGTTAACTTGAATGATTAAAGCCTCTTTTCTTTTCTTGAAATAACATACTCCCAATGGCTGTAGCAAGAGGTTGGAGAAAAGACTTTACAGCCCTTTTTCTTCTGCCATAAGGATGAGATCCCCATGCGCTACCTACAGTTGCGGGACCCCAGTGATTTAGCATTGCTCTTCCAGGGCTGCCAACTCTGAGGTCTGCTTGGGGAGGCTGTGCCCCATGATCTCAGACATTTCTTCTTTCTCCATTACAGCTCCTACAATCGATGGACTGCGCCACGTGGTGGTGCCTGGGAAGCTCTGCCCACGGTTTCTCCAGTTGGCCAGTGCCAACACTGCCCGGGGAGTAGAGACATGTGGAATTCTCTGTGGAAAACTGGTAAAAGACAAATGCTTTCCTGAGCTGAGACTGTTTCTTCCCCCTTGGCCTCCTGTGACTCTCAGAGAAGATACCCAGGGTCAGTTACTCTTTGTGCCAATCCTTCTGCCAAAGAGCCATGGGCAGCGTAATGCAATGTCACCTTGATTTTAGTGACCCTGTATTTGATTGATTTTCAAAGTCCCTTGAACTGAACTGATTATTTTAATGCCAGTGGTAAGAAATACCTAATTCTAAACTTGGTAGGAAGATCCTGTGTATTAGCTTTTGAACACCGACTTTATGGCAGGACCTGGGAATATGAAATATGTAAGGCACGGAGCATGTGTCCGCAAAAAGTACCCCAGCACTTTGGAGAGATGGGAGATATACACCAAAAGATAGATAGTATGTTGACTAGTATGTACAATAAAGGCACTAGGAATTATGAGGAAAGAAGGATCATTAAATGGAGGTGCTTAAAGAACCCATTACTAACTGCTGAATAAATAAACACCTAAGGTGGAATAGACTTCAACTGAGCTTTAAAGGATGGGAAGGGCTTAGGGAAATAGTAAAAGGAAACTACTCTAGACATGAACAAAGGAAGAGAAATGGTACTATACCCAGAGCTTCTTAAGAGTCATGAGTAGACCTGTTTGGCTGCAGCAGGAAATTCCCACAGGGCTGTGGGCATCTGTGGCTTTGCAGAGGGCCCCAAGCAATGTACTTGGGCAGTCAGGGTCGTGAACATGACTGACATAAGGGACTCACCTCACTTAGAAGACTCATGCTGGGGGGAAGGGCCTTCGCTTGTATAGATGTTTAACTTTCCACTGCTGTGACAGAGTGGGGTTGCCTAAGTGCCAGGGAATTGTGATGAGCTGTTTTCTCATTTGACAGATGAGGAATGAATTTACCATTACCCATGTCCTCATCCCCAAGCAAAGTGCTGGGTCTGATTATTGCAACACCGAGAACGAAGAAGAGCTTTTCCTCATACAGGATCAGCAGGGTCTCATCACACTGGGCTGGATTCACGTAAGCAATTCCGAGCTCTCCAGGGGTTCGTCTCCTCTTCTCACATGATATTATAAACACACTGCTTATTTTTGGCTTGGAGCAGAGTGAATTGTATCCAGACTATTTAGATGGTTGTACTTCCCTCTGTTGGATGCAGACTTGACTTCCCTAGCATACGTAACTGCTTGCACCACAGTATTGATTTCCGGGCATTACTTAGGGCTTTTTAACTTAAAATTTTTTAATGGAAATGAACCTGTTTCCCTAAAGTCCCAATTCCCCTGTGAGCGTGAACAGTGATAGGATGCTAGCCTCGAGTATATGTGGACCTTAACGGTAGAGGCTATGCCTTACTTCGTACAAATGATGTTCCTGAAAGGTATATAAATCAAAATATTTTAAATGAGCCAAGGAAGTTAATTCAGATGCCTCCATTTGGTCTTTCTTAAAGCAGTCTATACCTTTACATAAATCAGAAGGGCCACGAATATAGGAGATTTTCAAGTGTCTGTATGTCTTAACAGTCTTCTGGTAATATTCAGGTAAAATATAATTCCATCCCTAAAGATTACTTCTTAATTTTTCTTTCTATTCCTTTTCAACCCCTCATTCTCATAGACCAAGCTGTTTTCCATATTGTGTGACAGGGTTACATAAAAACAAGGCAGCTCATTTCTGGATTTGGGAAGATTGCACACACTTGTATGTTAGAATTTGGGAAATACTGACCTGTGAGGCAGTCAGTGTGCCTCTGTCCTTTCATAAATATTTGCCTTTTATTGTGTATCCCCCATTATCTTACATGGGGAGTAGAAAACTTGTACCTTATCCGCCAGGGGATACAAATTTGAGTAAGATATGATTTTAGTCTCATAAAGGAGACTGACATATAGACAAGTCATAACTCTTCATGTGAGGCAGAATGTGCCAAGTGCCTCAAGAGGTGCAAACAGCCCTGTGGAATTCAGAGGAGGGAAGGATCACACCTGGGGTGATTTTCTAGAATTTTGACGAGGTGAGCCAAGGGAGAGTTCCATATGGAGGGGACAACACTGGAATAGGCAGACTGTGATCCTGCAGCTTTGAGTGGTCCAGTTTTCTGGGGCTTATTGTTCATATCAGGAAACAGTTGTAGGTAAGCTTTCACATGATACTTTAGGAGCAGTGTTCTGGAGGGTTTTGGGTGGACAGGCAGGATAGTTCTGCTTTTTAGTGAGGAGGTTGAAGCAGGGAGATCATTTAAGAGGTTAATGTGATGATAAAGTCTAATAATGATGAGAGCTACGGTGATAGCAGTGCATTTGGGAAGGAAGAGATAAATGTAGGATTTCAGAGGATGTGGGGAATGAGTAAGAGAGGATGATGAGTAAGTGATGACTTAGAGATTTCAGGCCTGACTCATGGGGGTGGCAATGATTAATCATCTCATAAGCAGAAACAGAGGCTCCAGCAGGAGAGCTTACTTGGAAGTGGGGCAAATGGTGTCTTCCGTTGTGAGTATTTGACATTATATTGGTGGAGGTAATTATCAGGCAGTTGGAACTTGGGAACACGGTCTAGGTGGGAAAGAGAACCGGGAGACCTCTGCATACAGCTGACCTTGGAAGCCTTGGAACTGGAGGAGGGTGGAGAACAGGAAGAGATTCACTGGCAGCTTGAAGGACAGGCCACTTAGGGGAGCGTAAGGAGTAGTCAGTCATGAAGCGAGATGTCAGAGAAAGGTGAGGGGAGTGTTAAGGCGCAGATGCCAAAGGAGGAGGAACATCTTAAGAAGAAGCTTCAGGATGTTAACTATGTCACATGCTGCAGAGAGATGAAGACTTGTATGAGCCCTTCGGATTTAATGAGGTCATTGATGACCTCAATTTAGTGGGTTTTATGCAGATTAAAAAGGTTTAAGAAGTAATGGGTATTGAGGTTGTGGTGATAGTGAAATATATACTGATTTTTTGAAGAGCTTAGCACTGACTAAAGGAAAGGAAAGAGATGGAATGGTGGCTTAATGAATAGCCAGGTTGAGAGAGTTTGCTTGATTTATGGTTTAGTGTGAAAATGTGTTCTGTTTTTATTTTGTTTTTTTTTTAAACCTTTATATTTGAAATGTGTATAAGAAAGTACATAAAATAAACGTGCACTTTAATGAATCATTAAACAAACATCTGTGCGCATACATTACCTAGGTGAAGAAATAGAGCGTCGCCAGAAGCACACTCCCACCTCCATGTCCTGCCCAGTTACCCTTCCTCTCTGGTATAGATAGTCCCTCACTTGACATTTCTGGAAATTCTTTGCTTTTCTTTATAGCTTTACCACCTAAGTGTGTATCCCTAAACCCAATAGTTTAGTTTTGCCTGGTTTTGAACTTTATGTAAATAGAATTGTATAATATGTATTTTTTTGTACTTGGCTTCTTTTGCTCAATTTTCTTTTTTTTTTTTTTTTTTTTGCGGTACGCGAACCTCTCACTGTTGTGGCCTCTCCCGTTCTGGAGTACAGGCTCCGGATGCGCAGGCTCAGCAGCCGTGGCTCACGGGCCCAGCCGCTCCGCAGGATGTGGGATCTTCCCAGACCGGGGCATGAACCCGTGTCCCCTGCATCGGCAGGCGGACTCTCAACCACTACACCACCAGGGAAGCCCTTTTACTCAGTTTTTAAGGTTCATCTGCATTCTTGTGTATAGTTGTCTGAACATTTTTTAAAAAAAAATATTTATTTATTTTTGGCTGCGTTGGGTCTTCGTTGCTGAGCGCAGGCTTTCTCTAGTTGCAGCGAGCAGGGGCTACTCTTTGTTGCAGTGCATGGTCTTATTGCACTGGCTTCTCTTGTTGCAGAGCATGGGCTCTAGGTGTGCAGGCTCAGTAGTTGTGGCACACAGGCGGGCTTAGTTGCTCCGCGGCATGTGGGATCTTCCTGGACCAGGGCTCAAACCCGTGTCGCCTGCATTGGCGGGCGGATTCTTAACTACTGTGCCACCAGGGAAGTCCCTGAACATGTTTTTAAGCCCAGTGAGCTGGTGGAGTATAGTGGAGCCTGTGCAGCAGATGTCAGAGGTCAGGAGAGACAAGGTAATGGAAGATAGGAAAGTATTAAATCAGAAGTACAAAAAGGGAGTCATCTTCATATGGGGGAGAAAACACTCACTCCTCTGAGACAGAATTGAAGGAAGAAAGAAAGATACCGAGAGATTTTTGAGGTTATAATTGGAGGGGTTGAGGGAACTCATTTTAGGTGATCTTGCTATCAACAAGGTTGAAGTCTAGATCCACTGCTCAGCAGGAGGAGACAGATAAGTTTAAAAACTGGAGAAGATGGGGAAAGTTTGGAATAATTTCTGTTTAGACTTCAGGTAGATCTTAGCCACAAATGAGTAAAAGGATTTTTAATATCAGTGGGGGCCTAGCTAGGAAGAAATTTAGAGCCTAAATTGATAGTATTCCAGCTTTTTTTCCCCATGATATTTCTGTAGCATTCCTTCCTAACTTGGGATTGAAAGCAAACAAAAGCAGACCATAACGTTTGCTCAGATCTTAAAATTGGCAAGAGGAGAAGGCAAAAGGTCAGTTCTTCCTTCTGTACCTTGCCAGCTATATAAATCAGGTTCCCTGGTCAAAAACTTTGTATGGTCATGTTTATCACCAACTATTGTGTAACCCCCAACTCAGTATTCAAGGCACTCCTTCACCTTGTCTTACCTGGCATTGCTCTCCTGTGGCTGCCCTACTCATCCAGGCACCCAGGCTACCCTGGGCATTCACTCTCCTCACTTACTTCTGCTCCTTTAGTGTATTGTTTTCTCTTCATAAAAATGCCTGCCTCTGTCACCAGCATGGTGGACACAGTGAGCATAACTGTTTTTTCAAGAAACTTGACTGTAAAGGGAAGGAGAGAAGGTACAGTAGTTAGTGGGGAGCAGAGGCTCAAACAAGATTTTTTGGTTTAGTTTAACAATTATTTATTGATCCCCTGCTATGTATCTGTATATCATCTTTCTAGCTAACGCAACTTCAGATTGGAGGCCTTCATCAGCTTGTGTAGGTCTTATTTGTTCTCAGTTAAAATTTCAGGCTGTAACCATGGGCTGTAGGGTGTTGGCACAGGCTGTCCCTAACAGTCTATAGGATCATATTCGTATTAGGTAGAAACTGTTTCTCCCTTGTGGTCATGAAAGTTCTTTCCTTCCCCATGCAGACCTGTGTATAGATTTACTGTCAGCACTCAGCTAACATGTTCCTGTATTGCAGACCTCTTCCACAATGAGCTGGTCACAGCATTCTATGCAGTTGTGCTTCTCAGATGAGGCTGCACATAAGAATCATTTAATGAGCTTTAAAGAAAAAAATTTCCTTCTCAGGATGGATATTTCCAGGGTGGGGTGCAGGAGCCTGTGCTTTTGACAAGTTCCTCAGAAGCTTCATTTTTTGCACAACAGGGTTGAAAACACTGGTCAAGGGCACATATTTCTTTTCTGTGCTTTTCTGTCAGTAAAGATTGGTGGTCTTTTTGAGTCATATTGGGTTTTTCTTTTTCCATCCTTGTTATCTCACACCCCCTCTGAGATGAACGTAAGTCATTATATGGTCCATTTGTGTACAAAGAGTGTGATCAATGAAACATTAAATAACTGTGGGATTCCAGTGGTTAGGACTCAGTGCTTTCACTGCTGTGGCCTAGGTTCAATACCTGGTTGGGGAACTAAGATGCCACAAGCCACGAGGCGTGGCCAAAACAAAAACCATTAAGTAACTGAAAACAGATGAGATAAACAATGTAATTTAGATGGTGCTTTAACTGATTACCCTCAAAATTCAATATCTTGGTCTTTTTCTCAAATAAGACAGGGTCCTTTGTGTGATTTAACTACCCTTCTGAAATCCCAGTAACCCTCTGCCTCTCATATCCTTGAAAGATATGCTTTAACCACAGGACAGCTTTTGCTACTTTTGCCTATAGAGCCCCAGACTCATGCTTGACCTTTTAACCCCTCCATCAGGAAGAAGAATCATTCATCTAACTGTGCTTTGTTAAGTCCTTGACTTCTACTAGGTTGTTGTATTGGGCAGCATGTACTGTCTGATCCAGTATGGGAGACGCCATTGTGTTGAGAGAGCTTGTGAGTAGCCAGATAAGTCTTGATGGTCAATTAGAAATTGAGTCTCTTCACATACTCATGTTACACTATACTCGTTTACAGTGCTGGGAAGGAGGTTCATTACTTATTATGAACTTCAGGCATATTCCTCATGGCTGCTAATGGCTTTGTACGTAAGGAGATCGTAGCAAGTTATTGAGAATTACTTGGCTCTACCTTCCTTCATGGGCCAGGCTTGACTGTGTATTCTCGCTGAAGGGGTCCCTGCCTTTTTTTCTCTTCTCAGACTCATCCCACGCAGACCGCCTTCCTCTCCAGTGTTGACCTACACACTCACTGCTCCTACCAGATGATGTTGCCAGAGTCGATAGCCATCGTTTGTTCCCCCAAGTTCCAGGAGTAAGTACATAGGGTGTGGTTCAGGGTTTTGCAAGGAGATAGCCGGGGAAAAGCCTCAGAGGAAACATTCTCCATTCTTAAGACCTTGTTCTCTATAAAATATATAGATTGTGGTATTGATTGGCTTTTTAAAAAGGCTTCCTTTTAAGTCCTATATCCTGATAAACCTACTCTAACTTGTTTACAAAAGTATCCAAGCAACAACCTAGATGCTTTTATAAGAAAAGGACATAAAAAATTTGAAGTGTTTGACTTGAAGCAGTAGGAATTTCAAGAGATTGATATCAGATTAGAAAATTTCAAAATCCAACAGATTATCTCCAAAAGTTACTTTTTCATTCTAAATCCTGTTATTTACTATGAATTCTCCCAGTAAAAGTAGCGTAGTGGCGGTGATGAGTCATTCTCTAACTGATTCATTCACCAGAGAAGAGACCTATGAGCCAGCATACTTTTGAGGCTGTCTCAAAGTGAGCTCTTCACTGCTCTGTGTGTATGTTTGTGTGTGTGTGTGTGTGTGTGTGTGTGTGTGTGTGTGTGTGTGTGTGATTGAGGGGACACCTTTGCTTGATTCTAGATCTGCTTTTTCTTATTTCAGAACTGGATTCTTTAGACTAACTGACCACGGACTAGAGGAGATTTCTTCCTGTCGCCAGAAAGGATTTCATCCACACAGCAAGGATCCACCTCTCTTCTGTGTATGTATCTATGTAGAAGAAATCGGAGCTGTGCTTTAACCAGGGAGGACAGTAAGAGCTGATGAGGCACATTGTCCTTTGTGACACACATAGAAGATCAGCCTTGTCACTTATTTTTCCAAATCTTCCTAATAAAAACATACATGGGAAGCGGTGTGGGATAGGAAGGAGTTTGAGTCTTAGCTCTGCTACTTAAGGACTGTGTGTCTTTGATCAAGTTACTTAACCTTCCTGGGCCTCAGCTTTCTCATCTGTAAATGAAGATGATAATAATAATAATACGTACTTGAATAGGGTTATTGACAGGATTAAATGAAGTGATGCACAGAAAGTACCAAGTGCAGTAGCTTGCTTATTAAATGTTAGGTTTTTTCCTTCATCATCATCAGTTGCTAAGCCTGCACTTCAATAAGAGATTTGAATTCAAAAGAAAAAGCCACTTAAGTATATTTAATTGTGGAATATTGCTTTTAATTTGATTTTAGATAACAGGGATTTTTATGACCTTATTAGAAAGTTTTTTTCCCCAAGTGGTATTCCGTGAGTAAAAAGTTTCAGTTGCTGATAAGTATGTTTCAATTTTTCCCCTCAAATCTAATGTGATAGTATTGCTTCACTCCATGCTGGCCATGGAGTATTATTATTTCTTTTGGGTTTCCTGAAAAGTGACCAATATGGAAAAGGGAGTCAGACCCTTGTCACATAAAAGAAACTGGGGGTGTTTAGGAGAGAACCCCAGGGAGCATCTGAGAACTGACTATAAGTGTTAGAAGAATTGTTGTATAAAAAGGTATTGGGTGTGACTCCCAGAACTAAAACTTAAGATCCTGTGGGATGACAGTTTTCAGCTGAGTATGAGAAAGAACTTTCTGACAGACTTGTTCACAAATAGGTTAGCCTGCCTTGGAATATAATAAATGTCTAGGTACCAGGATGTTGAAACAGAGGCTATACAATCCCCCAGAAATGCCTAGGCTTTCAGTTAGGATGAACCCTTATGCATGCCAAGAGGGAGTATTCCCCGTGTGAGAGTAGGTGTACTTTATTATCTGGTTGACATAATAACCCAAAAAACTGCAATGAATTCAGCAGTTATTTAAAATAAATGTATATTTTACGAATGACTCTAGAATATACATACATTTGAAAAATAAATGAAGGTATATGGGCCCACATTGATTCAGGCTACAGCCTATTGATTCTGGGTTGGTGGAAGTAATAATTCCCAGACCCCTTACCATAACAGCCATTTAAGTAGCAGTCTGGCTGCCAGCCTGGGAACCACTAGCCAGAATAAGCATTGTAAATAGGAGTTTTGTTTGTTTGGGTTTTTCTTAAACATATATATTTATATATCATGACAATATACAAAAGATATAAGAAGTTAGGCAGTGAACTGCTTATTGTAAATAGCTTTTAAACTTGCTTTTCAAAGATAAGAAAACACACAGGAAGTTAAGTAAAAGATATCTTCCATGACTTCAACAAGTAAGGAGTTTTAAAGATGACTTTTCAGAATTTTCCAGGACTTTCCCTTTCTTTCTTTTTCCCTGTTGCAGAGCTGCAGCCACGTGACTGTTGTGGACAGAGCAGTGACCATCACAGACCTTCGATGAGAGTTTGACTCAGACACTTCCCAAGAACTATAAAACCATATCAGTGTACTGGTAGCCCCTTAATTTAAACTTTCCAGAAAGCTCTGGAAGCTTTTTAAAACAGAATAGAACGTATCACCTGGGGGAGAACTGATTTTCTATTTCTGGTTTGAAAAGAAATAATTGAATATGTTTTTTAGGCACATCTGGAAAATAGCATGATCATGCTAAAGCAACTTTTCAGTCTGCCTGTAACTAAAAAATTAAGTTGAAAAAATGTTGTAATGAACACTTATATACCCTTTGTTCTAGATTCACCAATTGTTAACATTTTTTCCCCTCTCAGAGATCCTTCTAATTTCTCGGCCAACTTGTTTATTGTTTACCTTTGGACTAATTAAGGGCATCTATGCAGAAATTTGGAAGCCATTTAGAAAATCTTTGGGTTTTTCTGTGGTTTATGGCAATATTAATGAAGCTTATCATAAGGCTGAGGGAGAGCTTGCTGTGTTTGACCAGATGGTGAGGCCCAAGAACCCTGAAGAATGATTTTGTCAGGAGTTATTGTTATTTAACAAATATTTAGGGATATTTTTTCTTCTACAATAAAATAACAACTATATATTTTTTTGTGCTCTAGAATGATCTGTTGGATCAAGCATTGTCTAGAGAGGTTAACTAAATGGTCTGGTTATTTGGGGAAAGGTGAGGGGAAAATGGAATTTGAGATGTACCAACATTGAAGGTATGTCCCAGTTCACTTTTAATTGTTCAGTCTTTTCTCTCTGCCTTTTGCCATCTTCCAGGACTGTGAAGTCATCTCTGTTCTTTTGGTGCTATCTCAAGTCGGTCATCCCATTCACTTCCTCCTTATGCCCTAAAAGCTTTCAGCTGAGGATAATAGAGCCTTTGTTTGGAGTACCAGGTTACACTCCAAATAAATGATTATATTCCCATGCCACCCCACCCTGCTGGTTTTATTGTGTTGGCTCTTCCTTTCTGACTTAGGCAACATCTAGGAAGATGTTTGAAGCTGCAGTTGATTCTGTATTTTTTCTATGAGCTGAGCCTAGTGTTATAAGGTGGCCCAGAAATTAATGGTATTGTTTGTGTCCTCTCTGGTCAGGGCAGGAGAGTAAATGCCTTGGATAGGAGAATGATTTCTTTTTGTATCAAAATTCTGTGGTAAAGAAAATTTGCAAATGTATGAAGTTTTGCTTCATCTTAAAATTTTGTGTCCTGAATATATTCAGTCTTTATTGCTTAGGTTAGCAGCCCTTGAACTTTTCCCCCAAAAGCCAAGTGTCTATATTCTTGTTTTTCTCATAAGTTCTTAACTCCAAAGATACTAGAAGTTCTTTGTTCTGCAGTTTCAGAGTAGGTGGGAATGTGGAGGTAGGTGGGTCTGGGCAAGGGAAAGAGAACCTCTCTGGTCACTGCCCTCCTTTCCTGCCGTAGCCCCAGAGGCAGCCTGGACTGCTCCCTTTGCCCTTAACAGTCCTACAATTGCCTGGCCCTGCACTTTCCAGGAAATTCACCCCTTCTTTCCATTCTCAAGGCTGCTGCTTAGTTTAGGATCTTATTACCCCTTACTTGAACTATTGCAATAGACTTTTTACCAGGTCTCTTTGTTTTTAGTGTTTCTTGACTCCAGTCTTTTCTGCCCAGTACAGTCAGGAGAAGTTTCCCACATTACAGCCATCCTCATGTTTCCTCACTTGCTCAAAAACCTACAATAGCTTTCCACTGCTTAAAATCTAAATTTAGCCCTTATTCCAAACCTTCTACATATGGCCACATAAAGCTCTTACCCCTGACTACACATTCAAACACCTGGGGAGCTTTTTAAAAAATACTGATACTCACACTCCACCACGCCCCAACCAGTGAAATCCAAATCTCTGGAGAGGGACCCCAGACATTGTTTGTTTCTGTTTTTGTCTTTTAAGCTGCTAGGATTCTCAAGTGCAGCCAGGGTTGAAAACCACTGTATTAGTCATTTATACTGGGGAGTTTTGAACTGATTCATCAGTCTCTGCACATCATAGACATTCAGAAAATGTTTGTTGAACCAAAGTGAACTGTATCATAGATTGCAACCACATTGATCATTTACTGTTTACCAGATCGCCACATTTTCTTGCCTCCACACCTGTGCAGAAGAAATCTCAGTAAATGGATGGGTGCAGGAAATCAGTCTGCAGTTGTCCTCTTCAGACCTGCTACAGTCTAGCCACGAAAGTGGTACTTTGCACAGGCCAGCTTTAGTGTCTCACTTCACCCTACATCTGTGGAAGAGACATGCTATCAAGCCAGCTCACAAGGAAGCAGGGAGACTGGATAGGGCAGTGAGAGAAAAGGAGCCAGAACTGTAGGGAAAGGAGGAAAGGAATATTGTGAATAAAAGGAAGTCAGACCACAAAACCTGAGGAAAGAAGCTTGTATTGAAAGGGTAAAAACTACTTGATAAAGAGACTGACTTCTGGGCTCCTGAAAGCCTTTCCACTCTCCCAAGCCACACAAGTGCGATACTTGTCTGGACTGAGTGGGGAGAGAGAAGCAGTATCTGATTGCATCCCAGCTGGCCTCAGAGGCACAGACCCTCCAAAGTGCCGTGGGCCAGGTGCAGAGACGCTGGTGAAGACTCTGCTGGGGGTCAGGGCAGGCCTGGGTTTTTTCAGCTGATTACTTCCACGTACTCCTAACTGAATACCACCAAAGAGGAAGAAAAAAACCACTTAAGCCTTATAATGCTCTCTTGGGTGCCAGACACCTTAAAAGCCATGGTGGGAAGCATTCACTAGTGGGGGGGATCATTCCCTAGTGTCATGGTGGATACTTGTTGTTTGAGAAGCAAGGGTTTCCACTTCCATTTGGCACCCCAGAGTTTAAAATCATAATGCCTATCCCCTTTGACTTTGGTCACCTCTGGGTTTCAGTTACCCCAGTGGAAGGAGCTTTTCATGTGGGGGTTGACAGGACTGGAGACCGCTAGGAGCAAAGCCTCAATGACATGAGGGCCCAGTGAATCCTGTGACTTTGGTCTGCTTCAAGTGGATTTTGAGAACAGTTTTCAGATCAGACCAGATGTTGTTCCCTAGAAAACAGTCCAGTTTGTATTGTGCCTCCCAGCCCCTCCCCACTATATCTCAGTATATTAACCCCACCTGGGTTTGGAGACCAGTTTGTTCAAGGATCTTTCAAGTGCGTGAGCCCGGAGTGGAACTTCAGAGGCAAGGCTTCTTTCTTTTTGTGAGGAGCTTTGCTTGAGGCCCTGAGAAGGCCTGTTTGGAACACTGGAGCATTATCCTCTTGAGAGGAAGTGCCAGGCTGAACATTAAAGACTTTGCTTCTAGGCTCAACTGTTCATTCACCAGGAAGTCACTGAACTTCCCAAACTTCTTTAAAATTCTGTGAAGTGGGATCAGTCTAATATACCTACCTCGAATGAGGATAGAATGAACTCCATATGCAACTATGAGAGTTGTAAAGATGCTATTCAATATAAAGATTTAAGCTACTTGTTATTTGTATCTCTGCAAGTGTTAGAGTTGAGGTACCGTTACTTCCACCTGCGAGACCTCTACCTCCTCCAGCTTCCAGCTAGAGGACTCCTCAGATAGATTCACATTCTTTATCACTAACAGAGCCTCAGCTCCAAATATCTTTTCTGGTCTGCCCTGATGTTCTGAACTGGAAAACTGAGAACCTCAAGAATCAGAAGAAACATTCCAAATTTCTACTCATTTCCCTTAAGACCCAGAGCAGAGCCAGGACCTAAAGAGATTGCACCGTATCTTTTAACCCTTGGTTCCATCCCACTCTTGTTTGAACCTCCCACTTTTGTTGTTCCAACTATTTCTTGAGGTGAAAGAATTGGAAGAGAACTTTGATCCTCTTCACAGAAGTCTTTATTCTTTAGTCCAGGGTTGAATTTTTTGTTAACCTTTGCCTACTTGGGGTTAGAAGTGGGCCTTACTCTTACAGGATAAGCCCCGCATCATTCATTGTGCCTGTTGGATCCAGAATCCAGCCCTGTCGCACTGAATAACCATGGACTTTTGTGTCCTTTGGTGATTAAACCTGCTTCCCTGAGGGCTTGGTTCAAGTTCTACCATCAGTGTCTTCTTGAACTGATAAATTCACTCAGGGCTTCCTTCTTTGAGCTCCAGTGGCACTTGTGGCCTGTTTCCCACAATTTGGTATGTGTTTTTTTGCTGTTTTGCAGTGTTTTCTTATTGTTTTATGTGAGTCAGGTCACTGAACTGTCATGTAACCTCATGTCATGTAAGGATAGGACCATGTTTGCTTTCTAGCACTGTGTTGAGTGCCTTTCAGTCAGCACAGTACTTCCTTACTTTCTTTTACTGAGCCCTTCCTTGAAATAATGTCCGTGGTGTTGAGCCGTGTGTTAGAAAGCCAGGTGGACTTGTGACCTAACCTCCGCCTTTGGGAAGCCATCTTACTGCCTTGACTCAGACATTGTATCCTGAACCTGTGCCGCCACCCCAGTGTCACCTTGTGCCAAAGGTCTGAATACAAGCAAGAGCTCTCAGAAGAGGGAGCCAGCATTTAAGCTCCTCTTCCAGCTGCCAGGACAGATGACTGTGCTACCCAGCAGGGTGGGTGGGGGAAGATGTGCCTGGACTAAAGTCTGAAAGGCGGAGGTCAGAGACGTAGGAGGAAACCAAGAGACAGTGGTGACAAAGTCACTACTATCTCGTCACAGAAACCAAGGAAAGCAACAGTTTAAAAAAGGGGGAGGTGAGTGGTACCAAATGGCTCAGGAGAGGTTTTCTGGGCTAAGGACCAAGATGAGTCCATGGGATCTAGCAGTTAGCAGAGGTCTTCCCTGACAACCCCATCTAAAACACCTCCACCCCGGGACTTCCCTGGTAGTCCAGTGGTTAAGAATCCACCTTCCAATGCAGGAGACACGGGTTCAATCCCTGGTCGGGGAACTAATATCCCACATGCCGCAGGGCAGCTAAGCCTGTGCACCGTAACTACTCAGCCCATGCGGTCAGGAGCCCATGGACCGCAACTAGAGAGAAGCCCGCGCGCCACAACAGAAGATCCCACATGCCTCAGTGAAGATCCCGCATGCCACAACTAAGACCTGATTCAGCCAAATTAAAAAAAAAAAAAAAACTATCTAAAACCAAAACCAAAAAAACCGTCTCCACCCCATCATTCTACCGCATCTTCTTTACTGTCTGCATACTGTCATTAGCTAAAATCATCCTGTTTATCTCTAGCATATATATATATATATACATATATATATATATAGAGAGAGAGAGAGAGAGAGAATACTCTGTGAAAACAGCAACTTTTGTCCTGTTCACTCTTGTATTCTCAGCTCCCAGAACAGTGCCTGACCATAAGATAGGAATAAATGCACAGACTTATCCAAAGTCACCAGCTAATAAGTGGGACAGCTTTGGTTTTTTAAGGAACAGAGCAATAAATATGCACACAGTTTGAATAATAATTTTAAAGATTTAAAATTTAATTTAAAACTTAACAAATTTAATTTATTTTAATTAAGTAAATTAAAGTTAATTTGTTTAACCTTTTATGATTATAGAAGGTTACCTCTTAGAAGGTAAAAGAAGAAAAGCATA